TTTTTTGGTCTTTTTGAGACAGGGTCTCACTATGCAGTTCAGGCTGGCCTTGAGCTCACTTTGTAGCCCAGGCTGGTCTCCAACTTGCCATGATCCTCCTGCCTCGGCCTCCTGAGTGCTGGGATTACAGGCATGCGCCACCACAAGCAGCTAATTCATCTCCTGTTTGCTCATAATTATGACTCAGATTCTGCCCCCCTCGCTGGATTATCACATAGGGAATTTTGTGTCCTTTTTGAAATACCGGGGCTCTGTCTGTGGGATTCATTTTAATCACCCAGCCACCATTTCTCACTGAATAAGGTACTTGCTATGTGTTCCCGTACAGCCAACAAACAACTGTGGGAAGACAGTGAGACCGGGTAAATCTCCCGCTCCTTATCAAACGTCCCCAGACCGCGCGCATCTGTGCTTGTTCAAGCCCATCTTTCTACAAAGGTGTAAGCTGGTAGTTTTCAGTGATGCCACCAGGGCCTGCGCCTTTATCAAGCGATGTTCCGTGGTGCGGAGGAGTTGTCCCTGTTTGCTGTTTGTTTAGGGCTTGGTTGAGCCGATTCGCATATGCACAGCCCAGCCCTCTGCCGCCTACAGCTCCACAGCGTCGCAGAGCTGCAGAGGGAACAGCCAGCGCCACGACCCCTCTTACAATACCCCGTCTCCCGAAAGAAAGCGCCTGCCCTGTGGAGTCACCTCCCCCGTCCTGAGGAACTGCGCGTTCATTTTCGTCCCTGTGGGTTTGCCTGCCCGCACATTGCCCTGCACGGCGGTGTGACCTGTGGGCTTCAGGGACAGGCCTCTCTCGCTTGGCACAGCGCTTTCAGGGCTCACCCGCGCCGCGGCCTGTACCAGCACTTCCCCGCTCTTACTGTCTCTCGGTCGTTCTCCCCACGGATTTCTGAGTCGCTCTTTTTGCTCAGCGGTCGTCACCATTATCGCGCTTGTGGGCGCTGCTGCCCGGCCTCCCCACATTGGGCCTTGCAGCCCGGTTTCCGGCTTCTCTTGCCTCGTCCTTGTGGCTTCTCTGACCAGTTTCTTCCTTCCCAGCTCACGGCACCGTCCTGAGTCCAGCTGGCAACGAGCCTTTTCACGACCCCGGGCCTTTGGATGGGAGGATGGAGTGAGAGGCCGGGTGTGGCGCCGGGACGCCGTCTGCGGGGCCGGTGCTTCCCGCCTGCGGACGCCGTGGCCCCCACGGCTCGCTCCAGTCTTGCTCCACTAGTGTTTTCCTTCTTCCCCAGGAAAAGCCGCGCTCTCGGTCGTATCTCTGCATGGACGCAGGTCTACAGTTCGTAGCAAATGACCTCGGAAAGGCCAAAGCCTCGCCTCTCCAGGAAGCCAACCTGGAACCGGAGCCCAAGCTTCAGGAGTCGTCCTTCTTCCCCCAGACTGAGCTCGGAGGCAGGACCCGGTGTTCACAGCTGGTCCGGTTCGCTCTTTGTTCCCCATCACGGTGGTTTTATGACTCATCTGAAATAGCCCTGGATTCGCTGCTCACTGGTCTCTGTCTGCAACCAAGTTGGCGTCTATGTTCCACCTCGCTTAGGTTTATTTTTGAATATACGGAATATTAATATGCCCCCTGAAGTACAGAGGTGTGTGGGAAGTCGAGGTCGTGTGGTCCCTGGCTGGTCCTCCCTCACCCATGCCCTTTGCACTCCTTCTGGGTAACCGAGTTCTTTGTTTTCTTGTATGTACTTCCTGCCTTTCTTTTCTTCTGTAAAAATAGTGAATCTATGCATTTTCTTCCATTTTTTCCTATAAAAGGTAGGGTACCACAGACACACTTTTGTATTTCACATTTTTTTCTTTTAGTAGTGTATCCTGGAAGTCATGCCAAATCAGTTTATAAAATATTTTTTTTTACTTAGCTGCATAGTACTCTGTGTATATGAACGGTATCTTAGTCAGTTAGTGCCATTTGCTACCAAAAAAACCCCACGCACATGTGTATTTTCATATGCTTGATCATCTATTTTTAAGTAGATTCCTAGAATGGAATTGCTGGCTGGTGGAGAAACACATAGTTTTGCCAGATATAAAAAATTCCTTTTTTTTTTTTTGAGACAGGGTCTCACTATATAGTTCAGGCTGGCCTCAAATCTCAGCAATCCTCCTGCCTCAGCCTCTGGAGCACTAGGATTACAGGCATGCACCACCACGCTTGGCAGCAAATTCCCTTGTATGGATTATGTTTCTCCATGGACTGCTCTGACAGAATGTATCATCATTTTGTCAGTCTCATGGGTCAGAAATAGTACCTCAGGGTAGTTTAATTTGCATTTTGCTTATTATGAATGAACCTGGACACCTTTAAAACATCATTGTGAACTTTAGTAAAGTGTAATGCAAATCCCATAAATTGTGTATGTTTAAAGTATAAAATTGGAGCGGTGCATAAACCACTGGCACAGTTATATGAACTGGAGGGGAGATTAGAGGGGCATAAACACCCAGGGCAGACAGGGCTGACTACCCCCGTGAAAGCATCACGCGGCCGGCGAGGCTGACAACTGTAAGATCTTCACACGCTTATCATGTACCGTGTGCTGTGTCCTTCCAGAAGTGCTACCCACATTGGCTGTGTCCCGGCCTGGTCCCCCTCACAGAAACACAGGCCCAGGCCCGGATGGCCCAGCCCACACCAATCTCCAGAACGGACAAACCAGCCTTCCCCATAAGCCTGGGGACGTCTTAGACTCACCCGTGTCTCGGGCGGGGACCCCAACCTATAGCATCGCTCTGCTGCTCAAGCAGCTTCTCTTCTTTTTCCTCCACATTTCCAACACTTTGGTTGCTTTTTTTTCTTTTTTGAGACAGGGTCTCGCTATGCAGTTCAGGCTGGCCTTGAGCTCCCGACGATCCTCCTGCCTCAGCCTCCTGAGTGCTGGGATTACAGTGTGTGCCACCAGCTCAGCTTTACCAGATGTTTTAAAATTGGTAAATAATCACCAACCATAATTATCTGACTGTGCTACAGAGCATCAGAAATTATTTGTCTTTTCCAATCTGATCTGCTTTTAACTTTTTTTTATTTTAAAGAGAAAAAAACAAGATAATTGGAGGGACCCGGGCATAGTAACAAAAGCCTGTAATCCCAGGAGACTGAAGCAGGAGGGTTGTTGCAAGTTTGAGATCAGCCTTGGCTACAATGTGAGCTCAAGGCCAGCCTGATTTGCATAGTGAGACCCTGTTTTAAAAAGACCAAATAAATCAAATAATAGGAGGGTAACAATGATTAATACATTGTGCATTGTTATCTTTAAATTAGTTACTCAGAGTATAAGATATAGGCATTTAATTGTCCAGACAATATTAGCACAAGCCTTTCTTTTCAGTAAACTAAGAGATATTAGTAGTACAAATATCTTAACTACCATTTGGTTGGTTTTTTTTTTTTCTTTTCCCTTCCTTCTTTTCTCCTTTCTCCCATCCCAGTTTTTTTTTCCTTTTGAATATTTTCTTTCCATTTCCCAATATCTGTTCTACAGTTTGGATCTTATTCACTCTTTTAGTTTCTCACACTAGTGAGACAATACAATGTTTACACATGTGCATCTGGTTTATTTCACTTACGAATATGATCTTGAGTTATATCCATTTACCTATAAAAGTCTCCAGTTTATCCTTCTATATGGCTGAGTAGTACTCCATTGTATAAAAATATCACATTTTTTTTATCCATTCCTCAGTTGATGGGCATCTCGGTTGTTTCCAAGATTTAGCTATGACAAATTGTGCTGCTGTAAACATGGGTGCACATCCATCGCTGTGGTACGATGTTTTTAATTCTTCTGGGAAAACACCCAGAAGGGTGCTTTAACTTTCTAGACTTGTATAAAAGTAAAATCATACCACATGTACTCTGTAGTCCGGGTTCTTTTGGCAGAGTGGCTTTGAGATTCACCCACACTGCTGCATGCAGTGTGACTTGGCCCTTTTAATTGCTGATAGAATCCTGTTTTGTGGATACACCACGTTCTCTTTCTTTTTTCACTTGATAATGCTTTTTCTGGCTTGGGAATACTGCAGATAAAGTTACTTTGAACATTTGAGTGCATGTCTTCATGTGGACTTCCATTTTTTTGTCCATTTGGTAAATGAACCTGTAAGAAGAATGAACGATGAATGAAACTGAGCATCTTTCGAAAGGTATTTTTAAACTTCTCTTTTGCACTTATCCACACGCCTTTTCTCTGTTTCTCTATAAAATTTCAGCCTCTATTTCTGAAGTTCTTATGTTGGGAATACACGCCAGACTCAGTTTGTTGGTGCAGATAATAAAGCACTCAGACACCAAGAAATCTCAACAAGGCTTTTTACTTCTACAGAAGGGAACGAGCACACTAGCTAGGGGGAGCAGGC